CCCCCGTACAACAGCACGGGGGGTTGCTGATTAGAATTATCCAAAAAGCAAAAGAAAAAGCATCTATTTTACTCGATTTTTACAACAGGAAAAATCCTCGGCATCGCCCACTCTGTGGAATATTTACTTCGCAGATTTCCGCCTCCCTCCCCATGAAGATGACATACATCTCAACGGCCGTCCCGTATCCCAAGCGGAACAAGCTGATGACAACCTCATCATGTCGACATCCTTTCCTGCATTCCAAGCGAAGGTTACCCTGTTCTTCAAGTGGTGCGCCAACAAGCGTGTTTTCATCAGCGCGAGAAAGTCCAAATGGATGATCTTCGGCCCACTACCTGCGGTTATACCTACCCTTCGTCTCGGGAATCTCATTGTTGAGCTTGTCTTCGAGTTCAAGTATGTCGGCATCTGGTACTCATCGGTCCACGCAAATGTCCTCGCAAGGCACTACGCCATAAAAGCGTCCAAGGCGAGAGGTATCAGCAACGCCATCTTTGGTCTCAAGCACAGACTCGGCTCACTTCCAGTGCGGGAAGCGCTGATCCTGTATATGGCTAGGGTGGATTGCTACCTCACGTCTGGATGTGAGCTCTCTCTCGACACCGACAATTCACTGCTCGCAGAACATCTCGATGCACAGCATGATTTCCTACGTCGGTTACTCGGACTGAACTCACATTCAATCCTCGCTGTCCTTTTCACGGAAACTGGTCAAATGCCAATACGCATTCGTCGGATCTTGCTTGCTATTGGTCGGTTGCAGTATATGGTTGGTGTGGGCCCTGGCCGTGTTGTACACGACGCCCTCCTCGACTCTATCTCTCTCCTACGCGAAGGGAAGCCTGGGTGGGCTTCGGACTTGACGATCATGCTCCGGCGGCTCCCAACAGCCATAGAGGCATCTGCCGATGACCTACTATGTGCGGAGTTTGTCGAAGGCCTCACTAAACAGATCGTCAGTATTGTCGACGCTGATCTACAGAGCGACATTGACCGACTCATCAAAACCCACCTTCTGCGCAACCGACTCGAAACGGGTGAAGACAAGTCATTGCAGCTTGTCACCCGGCGGCTACGGCACTACCTCGTTATGGTTGCCGTACCGGCGCATCGCAAGGCCATGACCAGCCTATTACTCGGGGACCACAACCTAAGCATCGAGCGTCTCCGTTATCCTGCTCGTTACAGGCTGGCAGTTCCACGCCAGCACCGGTTGTGCCGATTCTGTCTGGGGGCCGTTGAAGATGAAGTACATGCCTTGTTTGATTGCCTCGCGAACGCCCGCCTCATTGACCTGAGGTTCAACTTCCTCAATGACTTGACTCATCGTGATCCAGAATTGCGTGCTCTGCATTTGACAGTGTCCAACTACACATTCATGCTGAAGCTGGTCTCGTCAAGGGATGTGGTGCATATTTTCGCGAAGTTCATCTTCCATGTTCTCAGAATCTTTGACGAGACTCCCAGGTATTTTCCCGTAGTTTTTAGGGTCCCAGGATAGCTGTTTTTCCCCGTCTTCATCCGTCATCTCGTGAGATGTCTATGTACTTTACAGTATGTAGGCTACCACAGCGACTTGGCCGTTGACGTCTGTAGCGTACATAGGGCGCCATGTACGTCGGTACAGTACCTGCTTGTTCCTGATTGGGACCTCTGCAGTAATACACCCCTCCTCCTCCTCCCCAGTTTTACCACGGGAACTAGCCATACATTTTACCAACCCCTTTTTCCAGTGGAAAAATTTATCGATCCCCGCAGTGAATGGGGATGGTACGTAAGGTGCTTCTTCGCTTCTTCCTTCGCCTCCGTCGACCCCTCTTAGGTGCATTATACTGACATGAAGAATAGCCCTAGAAGGCCCTTTACATAATCGAGCCGAAGCTCGCTGGGGTAACCCCTCGGCGATAGTATGGATTAATACTCGGTCCAATAGTATAAAAACCCCCGCAAGCTCAGTGAAATGCCCATCGAATCGCACTCCTACCCTCGACCGCCCCGAATTACCAGCTGCCAAAAAATGTTTGCCAAACTCATTCCCTTTGCCATCTGTGCCTTGTTCATGGTGCAGGCCGTTCCGCGGCCAATTGAGTCGTGCCACAATGAAGTTCAGGTTTAGCTTTCCGTCTCCATGCTGAGAAGCCGTCTAACTGCAAATCGCGTTTAGGCCTTCTCGCAGGTCGATTTCTCCATGAATGTCAGTCGTTTGTTTGATGTGACAAAAATCAGATTAACTATGCATCGAACAGCGCATTCCGGGGCCGGTCAAGATCATCAACCTCGGTGTAGGCGGTTCGGCCTTCGTCCTTGGGGAGAGTATTGTCACCCACATCGGCGACAAGGACCATGGCGATACGGGCTTGGTAAAACCTCGCTGTCGATGCTTGAAAATTGCTAACAGATATTCGTAGTGGAAGGGATACCCAAACGGACCCGACAGATATACCATCAAGAATATTGGAACCGGGAATTTCGTCAGTGTGAGCGAGTACGACGTGCGCTTCTTTCAGGTCATCTCCACTCTACACCCTCGCTAACCGTGGAGTGAATTCAATTCAGGGTCGTCTCGTTGTGCGTCCGGACACCAAACCTACCGACTTCGCCCTTGAATCCGTCGGACAACATGTCTGGGTGGTCGGTCTCGCTCGCACAGTTTTAACAATTCTGTGCTTAGCTGTTTTCTTTTTTTGCAGCTGAAGATGGCCGACGAGGATAAGGTATGGGAGGCCGTCTACGACGGTAGCAGCATGATGTATGGTTATGTAAATCATTTATCGACATCGTGCCGATCCCCGTACTCATTCAGCGCGATAGGTCTCATTGCGCAAGACCCCTGGTCGTCCCAGCGCATACCAGCACTGGAACTTTACGAATTAAAAGGAGGCGTCCATTCGTGATGGCTCGCTGAGCTGCTGTGCTCGGTGGGGATGAGAATCTTAAATAACTTTCAATTGTTTGTTCGAGGATCTGCTGTGAAATCTCGTGATGTTTGCCACCGAATTACCTGGTCCCGTCTCTCACAGACAGCACGCAGTTCCAAAGTATAAGCACAAACTCCGGTGGCGGATGGTCCCCGGCTCCTGTGATTTCTCCAAGTCGTTCATAAGAGACGCACGACGAAAGAAAGGGGAGAAGAATGAAAGGAAGCGAAAATGAGAAGAATTGCCCGCTCACAATCCGGACTCGTCGAAGGCGGCACAGACCTGCAGAATCGGGCAAACGCGGACGCGGCGATGGAGAACAGTGGACCCGAACACCAGATCCCGCCGACTGAATAGACGTTCCAAATTCGTTGCGTCGCAGAGAGGCCGAACAAAAAAAAGGTCTCATGGATACCAACATGAGACGCAATGAATACCAGGCAGGAATCCCCTGCTAAACAAGAAAGACAGAATAAAATGAGCGGGAAACACCACGACGGGGAATTCATATGAAAAAAAAAGGAGGAGGATGCGCAAAGATTTTGAAAGCTTCGGGACCTGCGCGAGTCTGTGTCGTTCGCGGCTTGCGAGGGCGAGAGCGAGGCAAGGGTGAATAGTTGCCGGGATTGGGATGTCTTTTTTTTTTTTTTTGGGACCGGTGGCGCACGAAAACCAGAGACGTGAATCCTAAATGCGATAGGACTGGAGCCAGAGGGTATTAAAAATTCGGTTCTTAGTCTCCTCGGATAAAGATAGGATGGTTGAGGAACGAACGAGAGGATAGCAACTTGGGGAAATGAGGGGTTGTTTCGTGATCGATCCAACTGAGAGGGTGAGGAAAGTGGAGAAAATTCGAAAGAGAAGATTGGGTACCTCGCGAGATCCAGCCCGGTCGAGTCCTCAAAATTCCAGAGCGTGTCTCCGGCATTCGTCGAAGAAGTGCCGTCTTTTCCTTTTCTTGCTGGTGTTCGCAGCTCTCGACGTTCTGGTACGCTGTTGCAATATTCTTGTCTGCAGATGAGGCGGCAGCGGTCACCAGCATCAGGACCGCGGGGCAAGGGCTGGGCGAGGATACTGGGTAGTTTGAGTGATCTAGCATCGAGACAGAGCAGAGAGGGAGAAACGTGGGCGGTCAAGAACCGAAAGACTCACGGCGAAGACCGAAGAATAGTAGGGAGCGGAACGGGTCTGCGAAAAGGTGGGACGATTGGAATAACAGCAGCGGGGTGGGGTGGCCGAGAATGCACACTGAATTCAAACGAAAAGACTCGCCTGGGCATCGCCACGTCATACACACCTCCACCCAAGCCTACGCTAGAACCGAGGCACGAGGTCGCACGACGCACTTGAAGCGTCTGTCTAGGAGAGACTAAGCCTCCGCTCATGTCTTTTCAACTTTCTCCATCCCCCTTCACAAGATCGAGCCGATCGTCTCAATGGTGTAGCGCAGAAAGAGACGCAGGAGGCGATCGAACCCGTGGGTCCTGTCGTCCTGTCGCGCGGTGTGAATTGGAGAACTTGGGCTTGACAATGACTGGGTCGTTCAGCAGATCAACAGCTGATGCGGATCAATCTCGGCACATCAGCAACGCGTCAACAACGCGTCGCCTAAAAGTACCTGATGAGATAAAAATAAATGGATAAAATGGATGATCTTCGCGGCTCACTGAGTAACTATCACGGAACCAGCCGAGGGAGGACGAAGGGATATCCGAGCTTAGGAGGAACTTTGGGGGTCAGAAATTGAACCAGCCTCATCAGTTTTCCACATACGATAACAAAGCTCAGTAACGGATGGTCCTCTGCTCTGTAAATCAGCAAAATCTTGTCAAAATAATGACAGGGCCTGTTCCTGTTCGAACCAGGCCTGAGCTGTGATCAAGGAATTCTATGTTTCTTTTGCCTTCTTTCTCTACTTTTCCTTCGTAAATATGAGAACCATTTTGCTTTAGAACCTCAGGCGGAGGGCTCAAACCATCAGGAATACCAATGGCCAGTGCTTGTGCTCACGCATCTAATAACTGAATAAGTTCCATTCACAGCCCGTTAGCTTTGCAAAGCTCCTAATTGACCAAAGAAGGCTCAGTAGCGGACGGTCCGCATCTGTTGTCACTGTTCAGGATGCTTAGTGAGTCATGCAGAGGAAGCCTGTTCGACTCAGGCCTGAGCCATTGGTCGTTTTGGTTCCATGTTTCACCCCCCCTAGGGTTCACTCGAGGATGAAAGTGGCTCCCTTCCGTATCTAGAGCTCAGGAAAGACAAGCAGGTGGATCCGGAGACATTATAAGCCAGTACCGTTATCCTAAAATAAATATTCATTCATGATCATTTGCAGCACCAATTTCTATCCAACCTGACTACGTTTGGAGAGAAGAAGACTCAGTAGCGGAAGGTCCACATCTGCTTCACCTACGTAGTCCACAAGGATTAATGCAGCCAACGTCTGTTCGATTCAGGCCTGAGCCAGCCAATGAGACATTTCAGAGACGGGAACTTTTTTCCCTGCTTGCTTTCCTCCTGAAGATTATTTTGTGCAGTGGGGCTTACGACTGGCTCCACATATAAGGCAAGAGTACACCATCTCACCGCCCACAAACTGATGGAGGTTCTGTACCCTGAATATTCACCATGAGATCGAGCTAACCTCCCAAGTTTGTTAGTAAGAAAGGAAGGCTCAGTAGCGGGGAGTTCCGCACCTGCTTCATCTGGGGGAAAGATGTGATGCAAACTACGCCTGTTCGACTCAGGCCTGAGCCATAAGTTGTATGTCTGGCTATTCTCTCGAGGATGAAGATGAAAATGTTTTCTGTCTGTAGGGCCGAAATGCGACATAATGAAGTGAAGCAGGTGGAGAGGATCTGCAAGATGGTATCGATTGTCCTCTGAAGAATAAATACAAAATCTCCATTACGGTCAAACTCAACTTCACCGTCACTGCACTAAGTTCCCACCTCACTGTACAAAGTCATGATCAGCGCCCAGTAGCGGAGGGCCCGCTGATGCTTTCCATTAACGGAGACACCAGATAATGCAGACTATTCCTGTTCGAGTCAGGCCAGGGCCATCCATGACAAAGTCGCGGAGATAATTTTTTGTCAATATGTGGAGGACAGCCAACGGGAAGAAAAAAATCTGACAGCACTGTCTGAATGGTCTGGTATCTGCGCGTGTAATAATAGTGCGTTCAATAAAATAAATGATCTCCATTGTACACCATCCGACGGAAATCAAGCTAAGCTGACCGAGTTTGGAGGTCACTAAACAAGGCTCAGTAGCGGGCAATCCGTATCTGCTTTCTATACTCATTTAAAATCGGATAGTGCATGTTCTACTCATGCCTGAGCCATCTAATCCATCTCAGGTCCATTTTTTGTTTCTTCTGATTTTCGACCTGTTACCTGGCCAGTCGGACTGCTTTATTTTTGAGCAAACGCTACTTTTAGTACGCGCTCCCGTAGGACCCTGCCCGCTGACATATCTACTATCTACCTAGTTGAGATCGAGCATGTCAAATATTTTGACTGTCTTTCAACGTTCATCCCCTGCCGAAATCAAATATGGCATCTTACAGAACGGAGCCTGTTCGACTCAGGCCTAAGCGCTGAACGTTGAGCCGTCAGTTCCATCATCCCTTTTTTTTGGTCTCTGTTCAAGCGGAGGATTTTTTCTTTCGTAAATGTCTCCGTATGCGGATGTCGCTGTGACTGGACAGCCCGGGAGGGGGTCTACGAGATGACATCCGACATTATTTCAAAATGTGAGGAACATGGAATCTCATCCAATTCTATTCACACGGGAATCATGCGAATTCATCGAGTTCAAAATAAATGAGAGGAAAGATCCGCATCTGCTATCTCATCCTGTTCAACTCAGGCCTGAGCCATTCACTGTTCCCCTATTCCTTTTTTACGTGTTTTTGACACGGCGGCGCGTCGGAATCGCTCGCACTTCGCGCCGTTCTAGCCCACAGGATCAAGGCTTGGTGGCGGATGGTCCGCGTTTGCTTTCTGTGAACGATCTGACTTGGCATATAATATGTGGTCTGCGACGTAAAAAACATCGAAACGGAAGAGGAAAGGAAAATAGCACGGAGGACACACCCCGCACTCAGCCCAACTACCCGCCCTTCATCGAGGGGTCGTATCGTTCGTCTCTTGCGAGCGCGCGGCGCTCGGCTACCTGGATTCGAGATGTCAGTCCCGGTTTCGGTGGTTGCGACCAGTGGCGCAGCGAGAGATGAATCTTAAATCCGATAGGAATGGAGCCGGAGGTCGCTGAGAATTCGACAAGTGTGGGAAGGTGGTAAACCCACGAGAAAAGGACGAAAGAACGCGGCAGAGTGGAATAGAAATAATAGCAGCCTGGCGAGGGAGTGAGGGATCGTAGAGTCGTGATTGAGTATTGGCAACGGGCTGGGGTATGGTAAAGGAGAGATAAAATGAGATACGGAGAGGGATGGAATTCGGAATCCGGATGGAGGGGGCAACAATGGTAACGGGATGGGCTGACTACACATACCTCAAGAAATCCAGGCCTGAACTCGGAGTCCTGAAGGTCCGGCGACGCGTATCCGGAGGGTCGTTGCGAGGGAGATGCACGTCTAGTAAGTTTCTTGCGTGTAGTCGCGTCGGGCGCGCGACGCAACTTGCAAAACGCACAGACTGACAGCGCGCGAGGGATTCGAACGGGTGTCCTGCATATGAGGGCGGACACAGTCACTCAGAACCACAGATAAAAGGCGGGGCGAAGATGCTGGATAGAACAATAACAACAGAAGCACTTCAAGCAGCGATGGGAGCGCGAAGGAAAGAGAATCATTGGCATCGGCACGCCGCGCCGAGGGACCGAAGGCGGATAGATCACGTGTTTACAAGCGAGGACAAATCGACGCGCCGCGTACCGTTTCAGGATGGCCTTTTATTACGGAACATAATCAGCGGGCCGGACCGAGTTTTCGTGAGTGCTTTATCCGCCAGGCAAAATGACTCAACGAGTTCGGAGTGAGGCGGTAGCGCATATGTTTCAGTAGGTATGTGGATAGGTATGATTAACTGCGGCCGTTGACGTATTACGGCGCTCACGCCGCTCAGCAAACGCTCAGCGAACGAGTGCCGATTACTCGCACGCCACCAGCTGTACTTACCCGATCTATCCTGTTTGTATCCTCTGCACCTGGCCATTTTCGGACCACATATTAGTATCCTGTCAATGAGGACCGTGTAAACCGCACATCCGAATCTGAGTTGATGACAATGACATGTCTTCCGTTCAACATCTACACAATTACTAATGTCAGCTGATGCCAGGGAGTGCCAGGCAACATATATAACGGCCCTGTCAGATCACTGATTGTTACTTCCCTTGATCCTTCCCCTCATGCTCGCCTCGCGTATACTAAAGGGTGGCAGAAGTTGTGAGCCGATTCTTTTCCTTGTATGCACAAATTGATTGGACTGAGTACTTTTTTAGCTGCCCATATCAAGTTAGGAGACTTCTTTGAAGAGAGATTCCAGAAGTCCGGTGGTTTGAACGAACTGCAGGCAGCCATTTATAACAAGGAAAAGGCATTAGAGCATACCCCAGTGGATGCTGCAGATCGCAGGGTGCAACTACTACAGGGCCTTGCACGATGCCTTCGGGCACGTTATCAGAGACTGGAAGACTTGAAGGATCTGGAGACCACCATGCAGAGATACCAAGAGGCACTGGACCAGATCCCAGCTGATCACACAGAAAGAGCACAAATTCTGTTCAGCCATGCACAATGTTTTGGAGATCGGTACGAGAAGTTGGGGCACTTGGAAGATTTTGAGGTTGCCACGAAGGGGGTCCAAGATATATTGGATCTGGTGCCCGCAAACCACCCTTACCGAGTAAAGGCATTTCGAGGTCTTGCAGTGTGCTTTCAGATGCGCTATCGGAAATTAGGGGACGCCAAAGATCTCCACATTGCTATCCAGAAATACCAAGAGCTATTGGAACAAATCCCAGACAACCACCCCGAAAGGGCACAGATTCTGTTTCAATTGGCAACCTCTTCTGAGGATCGGTACCAGAAATTGGGGAATGTGAATGATCTCCAAATAGCCATAGAACACGCTCAAGTCGCCCTGGATTTGATAGCTATTTCCGACCCTCTCAGACTACGAGTCTTGCGGGGTATTGCATGGTGTTTGCAAATTCGCTTTCAGAGGTTGGGCGACCTTGGAGACCTTAAGACTGCTATACATAAATACCAAGAGATACTAGACCAGATCCCTGCCAACCACAGCACCAGGGCACAAATTGTATATGATCTGGCAAGATCTTTTAGACATCTGTATCTGAGGCAGGGACAATGGCAGGATCTTGATGGTGCTGCATTGAACTCCCAACTGGCACTGAAGCTAACGGCCACAGACCACCCTCTCAGAATACACATCTTGCAACTCCTTGCCCAGTGCTTTCAGCATCGATATAATGCATTAGGGGAGTTGAGGGATCTTGACGATGCCAGGCGGAAATATGATGAGGTACTGGAGAAGCTTCCACCCAACCATTCTGACAAGGCACAAATTCTGTTCAATATTGCAACATGTTATGGGGATCGATATGAGAGGTTGAAAGACCTGTCAGATCTCCAAGCTGCCACCAAAAGAACTCAGGGTGTACTGTATCTGACCCCAATGGGCCACCCACGCAGAGCACAGGTCTTGAGGGGCCTTGCATGGTGCTTTCGGAATAGATATCAGAGGTCGGGAGATGTAATTGATGTCGAGAATGCCATAGGGAAGTATCAAGAGGTGCTGGAACTGACCCCAGCAGACCATCCTGACATCCCACCCATTCTGGTTGACCTTGCATCATCTTTTGGAGACCGATATCAGAGGTTGGGGGATGTGGTGGATCTCAATGCTGCTATGCAAAAAACCCAAATGGCACTAGAACTGATCCCCACAGATCACCGTCTCAGGGTCTCCACTCTGGGAAAATCTGCCACCTATTTTCGGTATCAATATAAGAGGTCGGGCAATGTATTGGATCTGGAGACGGCTATACATAAATATCAAGAGACTGTAGATCTGACACCACCACATCTCAATAATACTAGAGGATATTATCTACAATGTCTTGGTATATCTCTCAGAGATCGATACCGGAAGTCGGGGGACTCGGAGGATCTGAGGACTTC